AAGATGCTATTGAGACTACATCTGGAGTACTATGAGCAGTTTTGGTCCCCTTACTCAAGGAATGATATCATCTCATTGCAGGTAGTTCAGAGAAGGTTCACTTGGATGATCCCTGGTATGGAGGGATTGTCTTATGAGCAAAGGTTAAACAAGTTGAAGTTTACTCACTGGAATTTAAAAGAATGAGAGGGGATCTCATTGAAACACGTAGGGTTCTTAAGAAGCATGACTGGGTAAATGCTGAGAGGTTGTCTCCCCTCATGGGAGAGTCTAGGGTCAGAGGGCATAGTCTCAGAATAGGTGGAATTTCTTCTCTCAAAGGGTTGTGAGTCTTTGGAACTCATTACCACAGCGAACAGTGGGAGCAGCATCCTTGTGTATATTTAAGGCCGAGATAGATTCTTGATCAGTCAGAGATTCAAGGGTTTATGGGGAAACAGCAAGTGGATGTGAGAAATGTTCGATCAGCCATGATCCTATTGATTGGAGGAGGCTTGAAGGGCCAAATGGCCTATCCATGTTCCTATTTGTTACGGTCTTAAGGTTCACAAGGTGAAATGGCCAGAGGGAGCAAAAACAAAGGGAACAGCTGTAAAATGCTGTTTCAATTGACTGCTTCAAATGATTCCAGACTGGGACCAGTTTTATGAACTCTTCCCAAAAAGGAGTAAGCAACAGAAAAAGCTATAACGTCAGCTCCATGTGATGAGTGGTAACATTGCAAATTGGATTTCTCCACATGGTTCAAATATGTCTGCTTTGGAATAAACAACTGAAATGTGTTTGTGTATTCCTCTTGGATATACAGCTAAGAAGCCCCATCCATAAATCTCCCGTTTGAAGCTTTGATACCACATGGGAGCTCATAATGCAGGAAACACTCTACAGCAGAACATTACTCATGCAGGATTCTGTGACAGAACTACATTACAATTCATTAGGCCCAAGGAATGGCTGTCTGAGTTAATGAGATTACATATTTAAATGGAGTACCAAGGCAGTACTAATGTGTACAAACAAGTTTTTAGTTTAAACAAACTTTAAGTTTCTGTTCGAAACTGTTAGAACCATTGGGTATACACTGATTTTCTTGTCTATCATAAGAAAAACAGAGATCACATTATACCGCTCATTGTACATTTTGTTCACTGAAGTGCTTTTCAAGTTCTTCCCATTTATGTGAAGATTCTTATAATCTCAGGGCACCTGAAATTCCTTTATGGCCAGTTTTGTTTCAACAAATATACTTTATTTGCGAAATATATTTCTATTTGTGAAGGTACATTATGATGTCACAATGAATGATCTACTTCTCCTACATCTTATCAACTCACTCTCTCCCACCATTTGCTATAAACTTCTGCCTCTAGCCAGTGACTGTGAAATTGAACAATTAATGTGTACTTACCCTGATTCTGTGGCAAAGAATTGAAAGAACCTGGAAGGAAGCTCAAAGAGTCTTGGGAAGATAAACAAACACCTCTTTGAAGCCTATGGACTGGTGCTATTAACTGTGTTTCCCCAACGTTTCTTCATGCCACCCATAACACCATGTTTTTGTTTGTCTGCCTGTATGCATGTGCAGTGGTTTTAAAAAGAATGGGTGAGTTTCAACTAGTAGAGTTATATGGTGATCGTTAATAATTTGGATACATGCAGCTGCAATTTATTTGTTTATAATACATGGTAGGTCCTTTCAAGCATGGGAACCTGGTGTAGTAGTTGGCATCTCCCTTCTTTGGTGGAGTTTTTTTATTGTTGATTCCCAAGGCTGTTCACAAGTTCTTTTCAAGGGGTGCAGGAGAGTGGTGTTTGAGGAAAATATAGTAGGTGACTGTCCACTTAAATACCTCCTCAATCTTCTTTCTGCCATCTGTTATTATCTGTTTTATTAATTGTTGAATAATTTTGTACTTGCAATTAACAATTTGAAATCCTGAAGCTGTGTATTTAAAACACTTAGAATGGATGGGGGCAGAAGAGTTCCAGTGGTATTGGAGGCAGACTTGGAGACAAGTTCAACTAATTCCCAATTCCTGCGAAAACAAACTGACTTTAAAAAAACTCTTCAACCAGCTCTTTGGATTGTATTGTGTTCAGTCAAAGGCTTCAAAAGAAACCTTTCCACTATTACAACTCATACTATCTATGCATATAACGCTTCATATTTGTTCTAACTCTCCTTGGTGCAGCAGGGGCTCTAAAATCATTGCTATTTATGAATAGTAATTAACTACCAGCAACAGTAAACCAGCCAAAATGATAGTCACAAACCCAGAGGAAACTAGTCTTATAACTAAAATCCACAAATGATAGCATGGGGAACATTATTTTTGCACCAATAATTCATCAAAGCATAAGAAATAGGAGCAAAACAGATCACACAGGTCCGAGTTTGGTCTCCAATCAGCAGACTATGGTTGATCTGATATCATCTCCACTTTGATACTGAAAAGTCTATTGCTGTCCATCTTGAATGTGCTTAATGACTGGGCATCCACAGTTCCAGTTGAGGAATTCCAAACATTCATAACCCTTTGAGCAAATTTCCATACCTTGGGTCAGAAGGGCCAGCCTCTCATGCTGAGACTGTGGGTTAGATTTTTGTCAAGGAAACTCCACAGATTTTCTAAAAACTGGGTAGGTGGGACTCTGATTCAGAAAACCTACCGTCATTTCCAATATACTTTATTGATAGGGGAAAGGGGTCAAGTGTGAACTCATATGAGGGAAGTCTAAACTGTACAGGAACATTTTGAACTCTGTGCCAAGTTCAAACTGACCCAGTTTTTGCTATATTAAGAGTCCTATTCATAGTGTAGGAGAGTCACAATGTTTTTAAAGAGCTGGTGTACGCTTTGTAAATACATTAAATGGAAGAAGTTAATCAGGGAAAGAGTATGGCCCATTAGGAATCAAGGGAGCTACCCTTCATAGGAAGGGTGTTGAATGAATACTTCACTTCAGTCTTCACTCTGAAAAGGAGAACGGAGATATGGAATTCAGGAAAGGGGACTATGAGGAACTTGTAGTTTGACATAGGAAATAGGGAAGTATTGGAGGCACTGTTTGGCTTAAAAGCAGACAAAACCCCTGGCCCAGATGAATTGCATCCCAGGCTGTTATGGCAGGCAAGGCAAGAAATTACAGTGGCTCTAACACAAATTTTTAATTCCTTTCTGGCCTCAGGGAAAGTGCCAGAGGACAGGACGGCTATTGTGGTTCCACTTTTTAAGATGGGTTGGATGAGGGAAGTTCAGTTAATATAGTTTAATGTGGATTTTAGCAAGGCTTTTGACCAGGTCCCACATGGGAGACTGATTGAGAAAGTTAAAGCACGAGGGAAACTTGGCGAGATGGATCAGAAATTGTCTTAATAATAGGACACAAAGGGTAATGGTAGAAAGCTGATTGAGTAGCAGGAGGCTGGTGTCCAGCAGTGACCACAAGGACCAGTACTGGGACCTTTATTGTTTGTTATATAGATAAATGATAATAGATGAAAATGAAAATGTCAGGGGAATGGTAAGCAAATTTGCAGATGACACCAAGATTGGTACAGTTGCTAATAGTAAAAATGGTTGAAGGTAACAGGAGGACATAGATGGGTTGGTCAGAAGGGCGGACCAGCAGCAGGTGATAGTTAGCCCTGATAAGTGTGAGGGTGATGCTCTTTGGAAGAAACAAGATAGGGGAGTATTTAATGACTAGCAGGACACTGGGGAGCTTAGAGAAACAGAGGGATCTTGGGGCAATTATTCACAAATCCTGAAGTTGGCACAGCATGTGAATAAGATAGTTAAAAAGCTGAGAAGGCATATGGGACATTTGTTTTCATCAGTTATAGCATAGAGTATAAAAGCAAGGGGGTAATGTTGGAGTTGTACAGAGCATTGGTCAGGCCACAACTGGAGTACTGTGTGCAGTTCCAGTCATCTCACTGCAGGAAAGATGTGGTGAAACTAGAGGGAGAACAGAGGAGCTTCACCAGGATGTTACCGAGAGGAAGATCTGTCCCTTAGCTCCCATGTTTACATTGGTAAATTTACCACTGTACCCCAGCAATGGAATCATGAATCCATAAATATTTGAGTCAACAGGGCAGGTTAAAGGAGAAAGATTTAGCAGTATTAACCAAGAGAGCCAATCCATCATTCACTCCAATGACAAAAACTGCAGAATTAATCAAACATAAAAGCATGAAACCTAAATTTCCTGCCTCAAACGAATGTTAATCAATTTCAATTTGGAATGGAAGCAGGAAGAAAAACACGTGGCTAGAATGATGCAAAGGGATTAAGAATCATTAAGCATTCCAATCTGGGTCTGCTTTTGAACTGTAGGTAAGTTGCTGGGCTCAGTGCAGCTTCACATGACACGTTGAAGAACTACTGATTAAGTTTATGAACAGTCAATACACATTACTCTATCTTTGAAAATATAAAGTAATTTCTGATTTTTAACACCAGATTGTTCGATGAAGTTTTTCCTCCAGATTTATTGGGATGGTGGGTTTTTATGCTACTGCATTCCAGCAAGTAATTTTGGGGCAAAATGCATGAAACACTACATTTTTTCTCCTTCACATTCTTTATTCACAACACTTTTCAGACGGATTTGTGAAGAATAATACCAAAGTGACATAATAACAACTTTAGGCTACAGAAAGCCAATCAATCAATCAAAAGGTTGATATTTATACCTAGAGTACACAAGAGCAGTATTTTTTTTGGAAGAGAGAGTGAGATATCAATGTGCATCAAATATAAAAGTACTAAAAATTTAAAGAGAAAATAAGTGCAAAAGATAGCAAAGCAGAGAAGCAATTTGGTTTGCATGAGACCTTGTATTCGAGCTTCATATACAAAGGGAATAAATTGACCCAACATCAGGTATCCTTAGGAAGCCACTCAATGTGAATGAGGCAGATTTCTACCTCTGAATGCTCCTTTAGTTATGAAGCTTTGCATCTAATTAAGAAAGACTTGCATACAATATTATTAGTTTCTTAATAGCAACTTGTTTAATTCACTGAAATAAGACAGTAAAATTGTTCACATTATTGAAGATATTACACAGATGAGGCTCTTGGATAAATAATTTCCCCAAGAGTGATATCATTGTGCCTTGACTCCAATTCAATTGTTGTGTCTTTGGCTCATATAATTGCCTTTTTAAGGCTGTACAGTACTAACTGTAATAAATCAGCTGAAACAGACATTTTACAGGCACACCATAACAATGATAGAAAATGCATTTCTAGTCTTACCCACCTCAATTAGGGGACAGAAAATTTAATGTTTGACTTTTTAAATGAGTGGGTGCTTGTTGGGACACAATCCTGCAGGTGGCAGGAGCTATCTCGTACCTTTTCCAAGGCTTCATGGGCAACGCTGAGACAAAGAGTGGTACCAAGCTAGTCAACCATGGAGCGCATCCAGTCAAGTTCAATCTGGTTCATTCTTCTGCAAGTGCCATACATGTGCATTTTCCAGCAAGAGCCAATAGTTCAAGGTCAGGAGTAGGATCCTCAGTCCTGGGATGTCGAGGTCAGTTATAATACCCCAAATGTGTACCTTCTGATCCATAAGGTTTTAAAATGATAAAAATTATTGCCTTTAGGTAAGAGGTTGGTATGAAGCTACAAAATGCAACATTTTCTTTCGCAGGGTAAAAAATCTCAGTACATATTTCAGTAAATTTAAATATTGACACAATTTGAAGTGCACTTTTTTCCCCATTTTGATTAGAAAAGTAAAAGTTTGCTAAAAATACTTAAAATATCAGCTGTAGAACTGAAAGGTGACTAATGCAGGACTACTGCTATAATAAAACATGTATTTGCTTTCGTGTCCATACAGGCAAATTCTTAAGAGTTCTCTTGTTACAAAGCCATTCTTTTGGGCATCTAGTTATGAAAGACTTTGCTTGCAGCAAAGTTAGTGCCTAGTAGCAAATCATTCAAATCACTGAAATAAAAATAAATAAAATTGTAAGATCATGGAAGACATTTTTTAAGATGAAGCTCTTGGATATATTATTCCACAAAACTGATAACAATGCAGCTAGACTCCAATTCAATTGTTTTATATCTAATGTTAAATCTATTCAAGAACCTTGTTTTATATCAAGCTCAAACAATTCTAACCTGTACTGATTTTGATCAAAATGTGTTTCAATAGTTTGAGACAAAATAGAATATCCATGTTGCATTACAAATTTATTGATTTTACATTATTGAGTTTAATACACTATTTATGGTGTTAGGTGGGAAACAGGAAAATTAACATCTTTCTCTTCCATGTCTGTGAAATCTGGTCATTAAAATAATATTGCTAAATCAATAAATTGTGCATCAAAGTGTATATACCGGCTACATTAAGCAGTTCAGTAAAACAGATGGTAACTTGGAGTAGAACTGATAGGGTTTAGTTAACGTCTTTCTCTGCCAGTTCATACTCTAAAATCTAGCCCATGTGGTCATTTTTCATACACCTGCCCAGGCAACAAAAGCCAACAGGCTATTCAAACACTGAGATGCCACACAGTATGCTTCTGACCACACAGCTGCTGTTCCAGCAGAAATTAATTGATAATGATTAAGAAAGACTGAAGAATTTTCCCCTCAGTTAAATAGTGCACCCAAAGTCAATAGCAGTGCCCTTATTGCAATCCAATTCAAATTAGCTAACTCATCTGGGTTGGGATAAAGTTTTGACTCTTCCTTATTTGTGCGATTCAACAAACATTGGATTTCTTTCATTGACTGATTCAGAAGGGACGTCTTGTGGTACCGAGGTAGAGTCCCTACCTCCGAACAAGGAGGCCTCGGTTCATGTCCCACCTGCTCTAGAGGTGTGAAATAACATCTCTGAACAGGTTAATTAGAAAAATAGGTTAATAAAAAAAAAAAAAAACACAACTTGATAACATCTGCGCCACAAGAAGGTCCCTCAATAAACACTGGATAAACTCACCGACTGATCAGTAAGGATGGGTTCATTATCTTTTTCAAAGGTCAATATATTTATACCATAGGATTAACTTTATCAATGTTTATTTAGCAGGTCTCTTGGTTATACAGAGCAGATGGTTGGACAATGGAACGTCCGTTTCTTTGGGCATAGCGGTAATGTAACTGAGCTTGTAATCCAAATGTAGGCTAATATTCTGGGTAGATGGATGCAAATCCCTGTACCACAGATAGTGAAATTTGAGGCCAATGAAATAGATGGAATAAGAGACTAATCCAGTGACTACCATATAAATCACTACCAATTGTTTTAAAAACTCATCTGGTTCATTAATGGCCTTTAGGGAAGTAAATCTGTCATCATTACTTGATCTGGTCTACATGTAACTCCAGACTTAAAGCAATGTGACTCTTAATCACAAGAATAGTTTAAAAGGAGAACAATGAATGCTGGCCTAGCAAGTAATGCTCACATCTCAATAATGAATAAAAAAGAACCTATCATGGTGTTGCTTCTTTCTGCATTGATAGATAATGCAAGTTCCACTGTCCAGCCATTTACTGTCATGTTTGTTACTGTATTTATTACAATGTTATAAAAAAAATTGACAACTCTTACTAGTACTGAAACGGTATTGATTAAATCATTCAAGAGATTATTGTAATGGTATTTGCTGAATAATACTGCTTAAATCAGAAAATAAAAGGAATTAATTTTCATCCTGCGAGCAAAATTACTTTGGAACATGTTATAATTGTCATTATGATGCCTTAGTCAATCAGGTTTCAGCTTCTTACACAGTAGCGAATGAACCCAAAATATTTACAGAACAAAATTGAGTCTTTTACCTGAAATCAATCTCCCCTTCCTTATCTTTGTCCAAAAGAATCATCAGCTTTTGCTGTTCAACATCATTTAAAGGGACTTTAGCATTCTGAAACAGACAGGAGTTGTCACTTTATAAACTAGCAACAATTCTCTGTGTTTTACTGCAAAGAGGGAGGTGAAAGAAATCAATAAGATACATTTCAACTTTGCAGCAGATACAGACAAAAGAACTGATTACAGGCATGAAAGAAGAGTACTACAATTTGAATGGGTGATTTTAATTTGCATTTTGACTGGACAAATCAGATGAGCTAGGGTAACATGAAATTAATTGTAGGAGTGCACCAGGGATTGTTTCTTAGAAGAGCATGTTGCAAAACCTGCCTGGAAAGAGTTTGAGGGAGAGCAACTCAGGTATCAAACCAGTGTCCTTAATTTAAATGGGGGCAATTACAGACAAATGAAGAAGCAGTTGTCTTATGCTAGCTGGGAAAATAGACCAAGGGGAAAGTCTTTGGATGAGCAGTGGTAGACTTTATTCCCATTAGTTTGCCAAATATTTCATTACATGTGGCAAAAATTTATTTCAATCGAAAAGAAGGACTCGACGACAAGGATGAACCACTCATGGTTGACAAAGCTGGTTAAGGAGTGCATCAAACCAAAAACTAAGGCGTACAAAGTGGTAAATGTCAGCGTTAGACCAGAAGTTTGGGAATTTTTTTTTGGAACCAGCAACAGATGACTAAATGCTAATGAAGACGGAGAAAGCTGATAACAAAGCAAATTAGCAAAAAATATAAAAATAAATAGCAACAGCTTCTACAGATATATAAACAAGTATTTAAAAGTAAATGTGGAACCCTTGGAGAATGCATTTAGGGATTTAACAATGGCGATTAGAGAAAATTTGTAGGAATATTTTGCATGTTTTTACAGTGGAGGATACTATAAACATTCCAAAGATAACAGATAACCAAGGTGCTAATGTAAAGAAAGATCTTGTAATAATCTCTATCATGAGGGACAAAGTATTTGGCAAACCAATGGGACAAAAGTCAGACAAGTCATCAGGATGTGATGGCCTGCATCCAAAGGTTTTAATGAAGTGACTGCAGTGATAGTGGAAACATTGAAATATTCTAGAACTCACTGGATTCCGAGAGGGTTCCAGTGGATTGCAAAACCACTAATGGGACATCCCTGTTCGGGAAGGCATAGAGATAGAAAGCAGAAAATTATAGGCCAGTTAGCTGAACGTCTATTGTCAGGAAATTGCTAAAGTCCTTTATTCAGGAAGTAAAAGCAAGGTCATTTAGAAAAGTTTAACGCAATCAAATAAGTGAACATGGTTTTGAGAAAGGGAAATCATGTTTGACAAATTTGCTAGAGTCATTTTGGAATATAGCAAACGGAGTTGAAAACAGGAAATGGTAGATATGCTGTATTTGGATTTCCAGAATGAATTTAATAAGGTGCCACATAAAAAAGTTATTGCACAAAAAGGGGCTTGTGGCATTGGTGATAATATATTACCATGGACTTAGGTTTGGTTAACATACAGAAGACCACGTCGGGAATAACTAGTCTTTTTCAGGTTCAAAAGATGCAACTTGCAGTTGCCAGAAGGATTAGTCCTAGTGCCCATTATTTACTATCTACAGTTTTGACTTTGAAGAGGGGTCACAGTGTAATGTATCCAAATTTGATGATGATGCAAAATAGGCGGGAGGGCATGCTGTTCTGAAGACATAAGGAATCTGCACGGGTATATAGATCGGTTGGGCGAGTGGGCAAAAACTTAGCAGATGGAGTTTTACATAGGGGAGCGTGAAGTGTGAAGTAAGAATCAAAAGGCAGACTATTATATAAATGTCACATGACACTAGTTTAAAGTCCAACAAGTTTATTTGACATCACACGCTTTTGGAGTGCTGCTCCTTCATCACACTTCACCTTGTGATTTCAAATGAATCTGGTGGACTATAACCTGGTGTCATGTGATGCAGGACTATATCTAGCCCAGTAGAACACTGGCACCTCCACATCATTATTTAAACTGAAGGAGGAGGGACACAGGGAGGGAGGCAGGCATAAAGGGAGGAAAGGAGGGAAGGGGAGAGACACAGACAGATGGACAAGGGAAGTGGGGGGGGGGGGGAAAAGAGGCAACAGGGAGATGGCCAGGGGAGGGGGACTGTACAAGCGATACTGAACATGTGTAGCGCAGAAGGATCGAGGTGTTCTTGTGCGTGAAACACAAAATGATAGCATGCAAATGCAGCACATAATTAAGACAGGAAATGGAATTTTGGCCTTTATTGCTAAGGGGTTGTAATTTAAAAATATAGGGAAGCTTTTTTTTTTTAAAATCATACAGGGTGTTGGTGAGGCCACACCTGGAGTACTGTTTACAGGTTTGGTCCCTACGTTTAAGGAACAATGTACTGGCATTGGAGGCTGTTCGAAAGGGATTCACTATGCTGATTGCTGAGATGAAAGAGTTGACTTATCAAGGATGCTAACCATGTTAGGCCTTTATTCAGTAGAGTTTAGAAGAATGAGTGTGATCTTACTGAAACATACAAGATTCTGAGGTGGATTGACAGGGTAGATGCTGAGATGATGATTTCCACTAGCTGGAGAAATCGTGAACTAGTTGACATAGTTCTAGAATGAGGGTACTCATTTAAAACAGAGATGCAAAGAATTTTCTGTTTGCTTTTTACTACTGAATGGTACTCAGTATCGTAAAAGGAAAAGCTGAGCATATAAAAAGAAACGGCAAATCAAAAAGTTTCCTTTCAGGAATACTTTCATTTTGACAAATACTCAATTGGAAACATTTCACAAAATCAAGATGAAGACAGCTCACTTCAAGATGAATGTGAGTTATTTGGCTATTTTTGCGTGTTTCTTGAGAGTATCTGCTTGCACAACTTTTGCTGCATTTCATTATAAAGAATGCAGTGTCATACTGACCTCCAGTGACGCCCGGAAATCCTTTAAGTTAATAAATCTGTTCTCAGTTATGTCAAAGTTGTCTAAGAAATGTTCCAACTGTAGATGGTGCACCTTCATGAATTCTTTCAGCTTAGTAAGGGGATCGGCCTGTTACAAATGATAAAGAACTACAAGAGTCAGCAGCAATGAAAAAGTGGTATATGCTTGGGTAATAAAACTCAATTTCAGATATGTTTGTTATTTTTCGGGATTTTTTTTTCTCTTGTCAATGTTGACTTTCCATTCTTCTCACATAACAGATCAGAGAATATCCACTAGGGCTTTACAACCAAACCTGTCCTTGTCCTTACCAGGCATTCACAATCTTCTACATCCAATGAGAGTGAGTGATGGTGGGGAGGGGAAAGTGAAGAGTGAGTAAAGATGTCACTGGATGGCAACCAGGAACAGGAGCCCGGAGTGATCATCTCCTCTCTAACCAAAGCTACATGCTCTATGACATTCTCTAACTCAGCAATGATTTGTAATCAAAGGTGGAATATTCTGTGTCTATAAATCTAAACTAAGATAAAATAAACTTAAATGATACCTGTGGGTGTACTATAATGGATTTTCAAAGAGTTAACTGCAGGCATTACTGCAGATTCATTATTTATTTACATTAATTATCTTCATAAAGCATTAATTTGAATTGTGTGTAAAGTATCTTCTTGTTACAACCATTTCAATACTGACAGGTTCATGGGCTATTAAGAACAAAGAAAAAAAAAACAAAGAAAATTACAGCGCAGGAACAGGCCCTTCGGCCCTCCAAGCCTGTGCCGATCCAGATCCTCTATCTAAACCTGTCACTTATTTTCCAAGGATCTGTATCCCTCTGCTCCTTGCCCATTCATGTATCTGTCTAGATGCATCTTAAATGATGCTATCGTGCCCGCCTCTACCACCTTGCTGGCAACGCGTTCCAGGCACCCACCACCCTCTGCGTAAAAGAACTTTCCACGCATATCTCCCTTAAAAACTTTTCCCCTCTCACCTTGAGATTGTGACCCCTAGTAATTGAGTCCCCACCTCTGGGAAAAAGCTTCTTGCTATTCACCCTGTCTCTCCCACTCATGATTTTGTAGACCTCAAATCAGGTCCCCCTCAACCTCCATCTTTCTAATGTAAATAATCCTAATCTACTCAACCTCTCTTCGTAGCTAGCGCCCTCCCGTACCAGGCAACATCCTGGTGAACCTCCTCTGCACCCTCTCCGAAGCATCCACATCCTTGTGGTAGTGTGGCGACCAGAACTGTATGCAGTTTCTGAACGTGACTGAATATAACAAAATGATTTGAAAAGCAGCAAAATAGGGATAAAAGTTACAAATCCAGGCTAGCTCGCATGGGAAGAAAAGGGAACTGTTGGATTCACTTTGGATTGTAGGAAGTACTGAAATGGATACAACAGGATGAATGGCCTTCTTTAGTAATTCGAAGGATGTTCTGCACACAGAAGAGGCATGAAGGATGCCCAAACATGTTGAGCAACTTCTCCACATAAAACAATTAATCCAGTAGCTCTCCAGCACCTCTTAGGGGTGAAATTATAGAACATAGAACATAGAACATAGAACATTACAGCGCAGTACAGGCCCTTCGGCCCTCGATGTTGCGCCGACCTGTGAAACCAATCTGAAGCCCATCTAACCTAAACTATTCCATTATCATCCATATTTTTATCCAATGACCATTTAAATGCCCTTAAAGTGGGCGAGTCTACTATTTTTGCAGGCAGGGCATTCCACGCCCTTACTACTCTCTGAGTAAATTATATAACAGTGTTGTAGGGAACAGGAAGCAGGTCATCTGTTTGCTGTCAAGTAATCATTCATGCCTGTTGAACTTTTGTTTCATAATTAATTAGTTTGCTTCTCTTCCATATGTCCATCCTGGAACTTTGTGGATATACAACTGAATCTCCGAATTACACAAAATAATTTATTTTAGTGATTCTGCTTATTTTTGTGGCTATTCCAAGTTATAAAGGAGGCACATTTGGAGAAACTAATCATGTAAAAATATATTAAGACTATCCTCAAACAGAGATACATTTACAATCCACTTCCACTTTTAGCTGTTGTGAATTTTATTACCTACAGACAGGGAATTAGGGAAATAATATACCAGAATTAATGATCCATTTCAGGAATTGTTGCACGATGGCAGGAGGGGGAAAAAGAAAGTCATTATGTTCTAAATTGCACTTTGGCAACACATCATTGAGAGTACTGTTGCATTCAGTAGAACTTAACTTCATCATATTGTAAGGTAAAAGCCAGGAGATTGACCATACTCGTGTAAACTGCTTCTTATAGATTGCTGTAAAACATTTGGTTGTGAAATAGATGACAATCAAGTAACCATCAGTTGATATTTC